CCCCTGAAAAACGCCCACCAGCTGTACCCGTCGTCCAGCACGCCATACGCGTAGAGGCTGCCGCTGCCGACGCTGAACACCTTGCCCTTGGTGCGCTGGCCGTCGCTGTCCACGTAGTACAGCCCGGGGCCGCTGGGGTCGTAGCCGGCCACCATCGTGCCCTGGTGGCGCGCGCGCGTGTGTGGGGGGGGGGGGCAGCAAGCCATGCACTGTGTGTACGCATGCTTTTAGCGCGCTTGGAGGGAGTCTAAGAGTGCCGAGCACAAGCGCTGGATGTCTGCACCCCCCTGTGCCCAAGCCCCAGCTGGCGCCCTCGAGCCCTCCCCCCCACGCCCCACCGGCCGGGCGGCATTGCGCGCGCACCATGGAGAGGCCCATCCCGCGGTATGAGAACATGGTGTTGGCCAGCAGCTTGGAGGCGGCGCGCACAGTGATGCGCTTCCCGTTGTTCAGCTCGTACAGGCGGCACTGGGGAGTTGGGTGGGATGGTGGGGTCGGAAGAAGTCGGCGGGGGCCAGAAGGGGGGCCCGCGGTGGGCGAAGGTGGCGCCAAGCCGAGTGCCTCGACGCGCGGCGGCTCCACAGGTTGCGACAGTCTGTGCGGTCACGGCGAGTCGCTTCGCATGAAAACGCACTTGGCTGCGGCTGGCCCCCCGCTGGGGATCGCGCGGCTTCCGAAGAGGCTGCGGGGCCGTGCCGCTGCTGGTTGTCCTGAAAGCCACCCTTCAGCAAGCGAGCGTGTGCAACAGCCTCTCTCGCTTGGAGCTTGGATCCGACAATACAAACCAACGCCGCTCGCCCACCCCGCGGCTGCCCCGCCGCAGCCCGTACAGCACCCGTGCGCGTCCCCGCAACCTGCTCGCCCTGCCACCATGTCCCCCGCCGCACCTGCCGCCCGAGGTTGCGCTGCCAAAACTGGCAGTCTGCTGCGCCGCCTGCCATGGTGCCCAGAAGGTACTTGTTGATTTCAATCACCTTCTTCACAGTCTGGGACGCTGCGATTAGTCCAAAGGACAAGTGGTTTGTTTCCGCCAAGTCAAGATGCAGCAGAGAGCAGGTGCGGGCGTGCGAGAGCTTGGAAGCGAACGCGGGTTGGCGAGGCGCGACCCTCCTTTGACGCCGCTGTTGCCTGCTGCTGGGCAGCAGAGTGTGCCAGCACCACGCCGGGCCCGCGGCCAGCGGCGCCGTCGATCAAGCCGCCGCGGGCCCGCTTTCATGGCAGAGGCCAGATAGGCTACAACCAATAGCCTGCAGCCAGCACTCCCCCGCCCAAGCAGCTGCAGGGCTGGCGCTCACAGATGTAGCTGCCCATGGTGGCGCGCGAGTCAACTGCGATGATCACCCCCTGCTTGAAGATGAAGCCCAGAGTGGTCGTGCCGTGGTTCGGCTTGACCATCTCCACCACCTCCCGCTCAAAAGAGTCAATCTGTGTTGGACATGCGGCGCATGCGTGTGTATAAGTTTCAGTGCGGCGGGCGGCGCATCGAGCGCAATCGGGTGTGGGGCGGAGCATGCACACCGCCCACTCTTGCACGCCTGCGGCGCGAACCGACAGCCGCTGCGATCCAGGCCGCGCCAGGCTCACATCATGCACTGCTGGTAGCGCAAAAGTCCCCGTGTCGAGGTCTGTGCCCTCCAAGCGGGGAAGCTCCAGCTCTGCATGCAGCTTGCTGCTGCCCTTGTCCAAGAACGACGTGTCTAGCTTCATCATTGCTACTTATACACACGATCTGCGGCCGATAACGCGCTATTCAGCTCCTGAGACGGTGGATGACACGATCGAGCAACGATCTGGGTGTGACGACGCGGTTTGCGTGCATACTTTTGAAACCATTTACCGATCCAATTTGTTTGCAATCAGCTCATCTGATATAACGGTGTCATGTATCATGGTAACCATGATCTCCACCAAGTGCCACCGACCTGGTTGACAAGGGCCTGCATTGTTTTTGAGGAAGGGGATTCATCAGTGGATAATAAGCCACAGAACTAGCCATGGCGCCTGGAGTCGTTCCCATGCCGCCACCCACCGTACCCGCGGCAGACCAGCTCCAGGCGGAGCAGTTGCAACGCCAGCTCCGGCGCCAGCAGCGCCAGCAGCGCCTTCTCGGCGCGCTCGTGCCGTCATGCACCAAGGTCATTGTCTGCGCGCTCGCGCTGCTGCAGGCCGCGTGCGGCGTCTGGCTGATTGTAACGGCAGCGCAAGAACTGCTGTACAGCGCGGCCGGACCGCCGCACCGCCGCTGCCGCCTCGGCGGCGACGTGACCAACACGTCGGCCTGCGACTACACCATAGCGCTGGCAGCCGTGGGTTTGGCCGGCAGCGTGGTCACCCTGATGCTGCTGATTGTAGATTATGCACTCAAAGCGGCAATGGCAACGGCAGAGGTCGCCGCTAGCGAGGTGCGCTCGCTGGATTTTGGCATAATCATCGATATGATATTGGCTTGCAATCAGCCACTTGCATCCCGCACGTTGGAAAGCCGCTCCCAGGATTAATAGAGACGGCTGAGTCCCGCAGCAGGGAATGGCCCGTGACCCAGGCGCATGTCGCCGCAACTGAGTCAGCACTCCCCCACTCCCCCAGGTAGCTGGCCCGTCCGCATCCCTAGGCTTCCGGATGTATGAAGCATTCAGCATCGTCCGCTTCTTCTTCATGGGTGGCTGGGTAGCCAAGGCGGTGCTAGCCCTCGTCAACATCTTCTATGTCGCATGGTGGGCGGCCGGCGTCGGGACGCTCGTGGTGTCGTCGCGCGTCGCCGACGCCAAAGGCCTGCCGGGCGCGGAGCCGCGGCGGCGCGCCGTCGCGCTGGCGGGCGCCGCCCTGGCCGCGCAGGTGGCGATGGTGTTGCTGGGGGCGCTGAGCGCGTGCTGCAAGTGCTGCGGCATGATGCGGCCGGCGCGCGGCGGAGGCGGCGGCGGTGCGGGCGGCGCCGGGCCGTCGTCGCGGCTGCAGCAGCCGATGCTGCCGGATGTTGTGCTGATGCCTGCATACCCAGTCCCGCCCCCGGCGGCTGCCGCCACGGCGGTTTGATGGCGGCATCCATTCGCTCTACAAACCGCAAGTTGTTGGCAGGCAACGTCACATGTCCACCTGCGGGCTCTGGCGCTGAGACATGCGCTGCTGGTCAAAAAATGTAGATGATACTGGGGCGGCGCAATAGCCTGAGATTGTTTGTTGATGCCATCCCCATCCTGCTTCCTGCAAGTTGTTATGGCGCCCGGCGTCGTCAGCCTGGTACAGTAGGCTGAGCTGGGAGTTTATGCGTGGTTTTTTTTGCAGGAGGGGGGCCTTTTGGGGGTGCATACTTGCGTCCCACGTGCATATGACCTGCGGGATTGCAGGACACTGTTTGCGGGCCGCATGACCGGGTGACCGTCTGGACTATGACAGCGATGATGAGCACAGGCGAGGTGTCCGGTTGGGTGCACACAGCAACTGCTCGTGCGGTGTGCTCATGAAAGGGCAATCAGCAGAAGTCCCCCAAGGCTTTCACATGTAACGCATACGTTCAGTCAGGTTTATTGCCGCCCATACCATGACCCGATGAGGACTTGATTTGGCCCGGTGCACCGTCGAAGCAGCACAAACCTTCTGTGATCGGAAGCAGGGTTTTGCCAATCGAACCTGCTTTGAGACTCAAATATAATTCCCTTTCGTCGGTGCTGCAGCTGCTACTGACGCGCAAGGCGTGATCCAGGCGCACAAACTAGCAAGACCGGCCCTGAGAGGCGCCTGTGGCTATAGAAAGCGGCATCAAGCATGAATGATTTAGATGGTAGCAGGCATGCGGGCAAGTGGAACGCCACGCCGAACTGGAAGGCCGACGCCCGGCTGCAGCAGCGCTTGGCGCTGCTCAACTCGACGGGGCGGCACATCATCAACGTGACCAATGTCAACGGCACAACATACGCCGATGTCGAGGTGGGGCTGAGGGCCAGGCGCCATGCACAGCGAGCGAGGGGCCGCGATCGTGTGTCTGGGCATGCTGGAGGGTACCAGTGCGGACCGCGCACGAGCCGCCGCCGGAGCAGCTGCCCGCTGCTGCCTTCGTTACATCAACATCTACTGCCCTGACGATTGCTCACGCAGGAGGAGGCGGTGTCCCCGGGATTTGCTATACTGTTGATGTACCTGCTGCTGCTGCTGATTTTGGGGGCCCAGACAGGGCTGGTGCTTTGGAAAAAGAAGCACAAGCGCAGCTACGAGCTGGTGAGCCTTTTGCCAATCGCATATGTGTGCAAGTGGCGTGCGACTTCCCGGGCTTCGGCGCGTGTGTGCGGCACGCTTTCGTGTGTGCGCACGCCTGTGACAGTGAGCGTGCGCGTGTGCAGTTGTGTACTGTGGTTTGTAGTCGTTCACTGCCATATCATGATGGGGTCAGCTTGAGGTGCTCGCTTTAGATGGGCGGCACGCACTTTCGGAGGGAAGCGCAGTAGCATGGTCCGCAAGCTTTATTCAGGAGACTCAGAACAAACAGCAGCACCGCTGGTGCAGCAGTGCGGCGCTGCCGCAGGCCGCAGCAGGCCGACCGCGCAGCTGCCGCGGCTGGGGTGGCCGCGGCCGAGCAGCGCGGGCTGCAGCTGCCCATCTGAAACGCCCGCCGCCGGGGCTCAAAACGCGTGCCGCCGCGAGCACCTCTGCGCTTTATTGATTTGGAACAATGACCTCATCCCGCGCCCCCTCGCGGCCCCAACCGCTGCCGCGGCGCTTGCAACCGCCGTCCCAACCGCAAGGTCACCACCCTCGGCCTCTGGCTCATGCCCGCCGCGTTCGCCTTCCACCTCAAGTTCTGGCGGTTTTTGGGAGTGTGGGCCGTGTTCAGCGCCGTCACGCTGCACCTGCTGCACCTGTGCGCCGGAAAGAAAAAAGTCGACCAGCGCACGCCACGCAAGGTGCGCGGCGCCCCTGCGCGGCGGCGGGACGCGCCGTGGACGGCGGGCGGGGTGGCGGCTGGCGCGACCGCTCGTGACGGGCTGGGGCGAGCCCCGTCTTGCTGAGACTGCGCCGCAGCACGCGCATGAGCGCATCCCTCGCCGCACCGCCTGCCTCCTGGGGCACCACCTCACCAA